CTCCACTCACAAACCCATCCAGCCTTCAATCATTAGTGTTAAATGCTTTAAATATATTTTAAAGATTATTTTTAAATTCTAATAGGATAGACTCAAGATCATATTTTTGCTCATGTGTGCTTGTTTCAATTTTATTCAGCTTAAATTAGAACTTGCACATTAACAATTAATGGTATGTCTCACAGTAAGCACCTGGTGAGGTTTGATAGTGAACTTTTCCAGTAATTTCTTCCACATATATAGTTAATTTGATGCCTAGGCAGTCCATCTGATGAGGTCCAAGTGTAAAATTTCCTTTTATGGATCTAAAAAATATATTAGAGATGACTAAATCATTGAATGTATAAAATTTGATCATTCTACTTCTGACCTCATTTCCAGCACCAAGTCTGTGCTCTCTGACCACTCTTCCTTCTTTACTGTTTCCAACTATTTTATTTCAATGACCAATTATTATTAACACATTTTGCATGTTTGGTTAATTTTAGACTGCAAAATTTGATAAAAATCTTCAATTTCTTTCTCTTTGACTTTAGCTATAGGAGTGTATATTTGAATTAATAATAGTATTGAGGTCTTCCTTGTATGTGTATGCATAATATTTTATCACTCACAACTTTATACTTCAAGATAGGATTCAAATTGTCTTTTTAACTATGAATGCAAAGCCATTCTTACTCTGTTTTCCGTTTCTGGCTTAGTATACTAATATGTGATTGTCCGATTCAAAGGTACCAAAGCCAGTTCACCTCATCTCACTAATGCCTTGAATATTGACATTCATGCCTTGCGTTAGGATGCCTTTAAGTTATAATATTAAAGAAGAGTACTTGATATTTCATAGACTGTCAAAAGAACAAACTTACTTGTCTTGGAGGCAATGTAATCAGATTTGCACTGAATGAGTGCAAGATGCTTCAACTTCTAACACAAGTACATTTGAGTAGGGTCCCCAGGTATTTCCATCCCATTTCTGATGAAAAGATGATGGCTTAGAGTGACTCTCCATCAAATACAAATCCTTATAGAGGAAGACTGCCCATCTTTTTCATGTGGAACTGTTTGTAAATTTGAACCATCATTTTGGTTAGCAGCTCTACAAGTAAACTAGTAAGCTACAGGTTTGCTTATGTTAGTCTAGAGATGTATTGTGCTTTTGAGCATTATTCTGCCCTGATTTTTTGACATCTGAGTTCTTTCTTTTCATGGCTTGCAGACTTAAGACAAAACTGTTTGGTGTAAACAGTAGTGAATTATTAATATTTTCAATATTTTAAGTATGGTATTTTAAGCCCTAATCCATTACAAATACATGAGTATAAATAAAGTAGATATGTATATAACATATAAATACCAGAGCTGAGTAGTCATATGATCAAATGTGCCTATGTACATCATTTTAATGTTTGATGACCTTAAAGCCCTGGTCACTTACACCACTTGTATACTGTATACTTTCTTCTAGAAAGAACATTATATAGTACATTTACATGCTTCTATTTGGTGAAGTAGTTTCTCAGCAGAAAGAAGTAATACTGACCTTCTGTGGGATCTGGGCAAGGGCAGAGGCTATAAGGTTAGCCTTTTCTTCAGTGAGATTTTTGACCATTGACCCAAGAGAAAAAACCACAACACCATGTTCACCTGAGCTCTGGACAAATTCTTCCATTTCCTGCAGTTGAAAAAAAAAATTCTGTATTACAAAACTAAAGTACTACGTGGGAAAACCTTTTACTTACACTTTCAAATTTGAAGAATTAGTGTTAAAGACATTCCTAGGCTGGTTCTGACTTCAGATATATACAGCAATCTTTTTAGGAAGAAATGTGCATTAATAAATATATCAAACAATCCAGTTGATTTAAAAATTTATTATAAAATTCTTTGAGAGGAAGCCCAAGAATGAGTTTTCAACCAGGTTCTTGAAAACATTAGTATGAGAATTTACAATCAAGAAATGACTACCAAAATTAGATGTCTTCCCTGAGACAGATCTTCAGAATTGTTATTTCTCTTGTATCTTTCCTGATTAACCTGAGGGAAAGTTGTATATGTTGTTATTGTCAGGTTCCATGACTTGGTTCAAATTTGTAACTGAAAGACACATTGTCTGGTCCTATGCCATCTTCACAATTATTGATATACTTCAAATCATTAGTCACTGTATCATCCCTGAAGGACTTTCTCTTTTTCACTGGCTCCTGACTTTAATAAGTACTGTGCTCTACTTAATGAACTAGTCCCTTGGAAAATGTGTCCAAAGTATGTAAGATGAAGTCTATCTTCATTCCAAGGAATATTCTGGTGGCCCACCCTTTTAAAAGAAATTTTCATACAATCACTCATGTATATTCTGTTTTATAAAACTAGTTACAACTTCTTTTTTATGACTCCTCACCAAAACTTGTCTGCAACTTGTCAATTCTCTAACCTACTTCACTTGTCCACTAAATTTCCGCTGCCCTAATATTTTCCCCCTTCCATTTATTACCTTTTACCCCTCCTCATTTGAATAGTTATATATGTCCTTTTCTGAATTCCTAATTACAATAAACATAGCGTCCTTTCTTTGATTCTTCCAAGGTTGATCCTCATTTTCTCAAATCTATAGGGTTTGTTGTCTACATATTGTATTTCTGCTCCCCATTCCCACTTCTTTCAAGTAGATTTTTTGTGCTAGCTCTTGCTATCTTGACTATTGTCTTTCAATTATGTAATTCGAATGAATCATTGTTTTGTGTCTTTGTTATTCATTGTCAGTTTTTGCACATAGTTAAGGCAATAGAAAAGACAATAGCTTGGGGCAGGCACAACTTAGTTCTTAAAATGATGTGTAATCTGTCTAAAATTCCTATTGACAGCTGCAGTCTGATTGCCACCAATAAATCCCTCAAGTCCTCTTTGCTTACAGTGAGCAAGTTTCTTTATAGGCATATCACAATTTGCTAATAAATCACCCTCCACTATTTATGAAGTATTTTTAATATGCTTCAGTTTCCTTAGCATACACACTGAACAAATGAGCATACATACTCAATGAACAAATGTAGTGAAAGAAAACAACACTAACAAATTGTTTTTTATTTTAAACCACACAATATCTCCTCTTTTGTTTGACCACCTATTTCTTGGTTTATATAGGCTTCCACATCAGTATAATAAAGTCTTCTGGAATTACAATTTTTCACAATGATATTCATAATTTGTTGTGATCTATATAGTGAAAGGCTTTTGTGAAGTCAGTGAAACATACGTGAACTTTTTTTGTAATCTCTGCTTTCAGCTGAGCTCCATATAATATCAACAATCATGTTCTTGTTCAACATCTTATGAATTTAGCTTGAATTATGCCAGCACTCTGTTAATGAACTGCCCCAACTGTTTTTGGATTTTCTTCAGTAAAATTTTATTTGCACCTGATATAAACATTGTTTGATAATTTTTCATGTACTGTTTATTTTCTTTGAAATACATACTGATATGAATTTCTATTAGTAGACTTACCATGTAACTCTCTTTAAAATGTCTTGGTTTTGGAATAAGCATAAGATTTAAAAAAAATTTCAAAGTAAATCTGTCATGACGTTATAAAAGAACTAATCCAATGTTTTATTCTCTCATTTCCATAATTACTATCTTTTGCTGATGAGTCTTGATTGATTTTCATTGATTCTTGCCTAGATTGAGATTTTTACTACTATAATATCTAGAAACTTACACTTGATAATCTAAGTGACACAATAGTTAATAAATCCAAAATGAAAATAACCACAAGCTTCTCAAACAAGTTTTCACGAAGTATTTATTATTCAGTTACAATCACTATTATTCAAAACCAAACTAAAATAAAATCCCACAATGTTAATTCAGGAGTCCATTTTGATTATATATTTACTCTAAACTTACTTCTTTGTTTTCAAAAAAGCCTACAAAATTTACTCCAATATTCTTATAAGTTTAAGCTTATCATCATTGAGTCAGAACCATCTCATACTTGACCTTCCAACAAGTTTCCTGAGGCTGTAAAATGTATGGGAGAGATTGCCTATGTTTGCTCCCATATAACCACTAGTGGCTTTGGATTGCTAGAGAAGTACTCTTCTTTAGATTAGCAGCACAACTTCCTGTAAACTATGTCACTGTTAGTTGTTGTTGTTGTTAGATGCCATTGAGTTGAGTACTAGTCATAGCGTTCCTATGAACAAAAGATCTGATCCCTGTTGTATCCTGTGCGGTCCTGACACTTCCCGACACAGAGAGCTCATTACAGCAGTCACTATGTCGATCCAACTGGTGAAAGGTCTTCCTTTCCTTCACTGACCCTCCACCCTTTCCAGTGTTATGTCCCTTTCCTGTGACATGCCCAAAATATATGAGGCAAAGCCTCATCATTCTTGTATTCAATGAGCACTTCAGCTGCACCAGCTCCAAGACGTGTTTGTTTTTTTGGACATCCATGGGGTGTTCAGTGTTCTTCTCCAGCACCTCAGTTCAAAGGCATCAATTCTTCTTCTGTTATCCTTCTTCACAGTCCAGCTCTCAGATTCATAGCAAGTGATTAGAAAGACTATGGCCTGAATCAAGATGCACCTTACTCCTCAAACTGATCTCACTATTCCTCATAGTGAACTATGCAGGACACCTATGGCTCTTCCTTATTGTGATAAATATCCTTGTTTAGATCTCTATAATATTTGCCAGATTAACTATAGAAACCTCCATATTAATTTTTAATTTCATAGAATATCCATTATTTCTAATCCTACATACACAATATAGAAGCTCTGGAAACTTTTTAAAAATGCTATGCTAAATACAGCATTATTCTAATTTAAGTTTTGAAATGAGGCTCAAGATTTCTAATATCACTGTAAGAATCCGAGTAATGAAAATAAATTTAGTAACAAAACAAATTTTCAGCACCATGTCTTTCTTTTTCAGATTGTAATCTTTAAAGTATAACCAAGAGTGAGCACCATATTATAAGGTGTTAAACATACCTTAGGTAAAGGTTTGGCAGGTTTACAGTGCAAGCCTCCAACAAACTCAAAGTTAGGTAAATAAGGACGAGGAAATTCAAAATCCCAATAAGTTCTGATTAGCCAAATTTCAGCTTTTCCCATAGTCTCACATAATGTAGTGGGTTTTCCTAGAGAAAATAAAGAAAAGTTGATGGAGATAATTGTCATATTATATGGAAAAATTATACCTTAGCATAAAGATATTAAAAATCCTCACAATGAGGCCAATAAGAGACATAAAAAACAGAAAACATCAACGCTTCTAAGGATTTCATTTTATTTGAATTAAAAATCAAAACCCATGGAAAAAGTAGTAAAAAAATCAAATCACATATTTTACTGAGCAAATCTGCTACAAACTCACTCACTAATGGCATCAAAGGAGTTCTGACTCATTTTTTAGCATCTTATCAAAAGTACACACGTACTTAACTTGATGGACTACACAAGAATCAGACTATTTACATCTGCGGAAAGAATCATTAGAGAAGCTTAATATCAGCTGTGAAAACCCGACCAAGTCCTGACTATGGAACAGACTAACTACTCATGTGCACGTTCAAAATGAATCTAAAGAAAATGAAAACAAACGCACAAGAACCAAATTATAACCCTTAATGCATACTACTTGAATTTTTTTAAAAAAAGACAAACAAAAAAAACATTTCAAAACACAGGTTTGAGGCATTGAACTCTAATGAACAAAGACCAGAAGAGCTGGGTATGACACCAAAGGTTTTCTGAATATTGTACTAGAACACCAAGAAGCTAAACAAAGGGAAGAATATTAGGAAGTTAAAAGTTGAAAAGAGTATTTTAAAGGGCAGCTCGTGAAGAAAAAGAAAGTATTATAAAGAAATGTACAAAGAGTTGGAGTCAGAAATTCAAAAGGAAATGACTTATATGGCATTTCTCAAAGAAGGAACTAAAGAACAAATTCAGGCATGGAGTTGAAACACTTAAAGATGCTAAGGGCAAATCTTGAATGATCCAGGTAACATCAAAAGAAGATGGAAGGAGAAATTAAATATATAACATTGGAATATTATGAAAATCTCTACTCTGACATACTTGTAAATCTAGCGAAAATTAATAAATTCTTGAAACTCATGCTCTGCCCAGATTGACATGGACAGATATAGAATACTTGAACAGATCCATTGTTGTTGTTGTTGTTATGTGCCGTCGAGTCATTTGCGACTCATAACGACCCTATGTACAACAGCCCTAAACCCTGCTCTATCCTGTGCCAATTGCATTACCTCTGACACACCCCTCCCGATTACCCCAGTCACTGAATCAATCCACCTCATAGAGGGGCTTCCCCTCCTGCGCTGTCCCTCCAACCTCCCAAGCATGATGTCCCTCTCCAAGGATCTGTCTCTCCTTACAACATGTCCAAAGTATCAGACGAAGCCCCAGAATCCTTGCCTCCAAGGAGTAGCCTGGTTTAACCCTCTCCAGGGTGAATCTGTTTGTTTTCTTGGCAGTCCAGGGTACATTCAATACTCTTCTCCAGCACCACAGCTCAAAGGCATCAATTCTCCTTCTGTCCTCCCTAGTCATTGTCCAACTCTCTGATGCATAACAAGTGATTGTAAAGACCACGGCCTGTACCAGGTGGACCTTAGTCTCCAGAGAGACACCGTTGCTCTTGAGTACTTTAGAGAGGTCCCTAACAGCAGACTTTCCCATTACAATACGTTTTTTTTTTTATTTTTTTTATTTCCTGGCATTACGAAGGAAGAAAATGAGCATGTTATAAAAAGATTTCCCCACCAAAAGAGTCCTGGACCAGATGGCTTCACTGCTAAATTCTACCAAACATTCAGAGATGATCCATCACCAATTCTAAGTAAATTACTTAAAAAAATAGGGAAAAGGGAATATTTCCAGATTCTTTCTATGAAGATAGCAGGACCTTAATACCAAAACAAAGATGTTATAAAAAAGGAGACTACAGACCAAATCTCTTATGAATATAGATGCGAAAATCTTAATAAAATCCTGGCCTATAAAATCCAACAGAAAGTCAAAAAAATAATCTGTCACGACCAAATGAGATTCATAACAGGTATGCAAGGATAGTTCAACATAAGAAAATCAATAAACGTAATTCACCATATTAACAAAGTAAATAACAAGAACTATACAATCCTAGCAATTGATGCAGAAAAGGCCTTTGACAAAATCCAACACCCTTTCCTGATCAAAACATTCAGCAAAAATAGGAATAAATGGGAATTTCCTCAACATTGTGAAAAGTATATATCCAAAACCAAGCACCAATATAGTTCTCAATGGAGAAATACTAAAGCATTCTCCTTGTAAATAGGGATCAGACAAGGATGCCTGCTGTCACCACTCCTATTCAATATTGTTTTGGAAGTATTTGCTAGGGCAATACAACAAGAGAAGGAAATAAGCATCCGTACAGATTGACAAAAAGATGGTGAAACTGTCACTATATGCCAATAATATGATATATGATAGAATTTGTTAAAATAGAATATGTTAATGTACACAGAATACCCCAAGAGCTCAACAATAAAAAAGTTTAGAGCTAGTAGACTAATTTAGTAGAGTAGTAAGATACAAGGTCCATATAAACAAGTCTGTGTTATTCCTCTACAATAACAATTAAAACACAGAAGGAAAATAAGAAAGCAATACTATTTACAATAGCTAACTACAAATTGAGATAATTGAGATACTTAGGAAGAAATCTAACTAGAGACACAAAAGACCTTTACAAAAAACCTACAAAACACTTCTGTGAGAAATAATAAAAAAAAACTAAATAGATTTGGAAATGTTCCCTGTTTATGGATAGGAAGACACAATATAGTGAAAATGACAATTCTACCAAGCATCTACAATGCAATACCAATACAGATACCAAATTCATTTTTCAAAGAGATCAAAAAGGGAGTTCTCAGTTTATTTGGAGTGGTAGGAGACTTCAAATAAGCAAAGTACTTTTGAAACACAAGAATGAAGTGCGAGGCATAGCAGTCCCTGATCCCAAAACCTACTCTACAGCTTTAATAACCAAAGCAACTTTGTATTGGTACCAAAAAAAGGTACATAGACCAATAAGACAAACTGAGAACCAAGGAAATTTTTAAGACAACTTTTATTTATTTATTTTTTAAGTTTTAAAATTATATTTTAATGAAAACTTACAGATAACTTGGATTTCCATTCATTCATTCATTCATTTGTTGCACATTTCTCTCTCTATCCATGCCAGTTCATTTTTCTCTTTAAAAAGAGTCTTTCATTGTTGCACAATTTTCTCCTTCCCACTATCTATCCCATGCCACACAGTCCATTTTTCTATGCATCTTATTCTGGACTGTTGTCATGCAAATAATATCTAATCATAGATTTCTTTTAGACAGTTCTTTCCCTCATCTATTTAAATGCAGTGTTCATTATTTATCCTCTTTTCTTAGTTTCCTCTAACCCCCATGTCAGTTCTGCTCATAACAGTGGCAGAAATTAACCCATCTATCTATGGTCAACTGATATCTGACAAGAAAACAAAATTTATCAAATGGGGAAATGACTACCTCTTCAACAAATGGTGCTGGAAAAACTGGAGTGCTGCCTGCAGATAGGTGAAGCAGGATCCAAACCTCTCATCACACACAAAATTCAACTCAAGATGGATCAGAGACTAAGGCATAAAGCCCCAACCATAAAAATCATAAGGAACAAATTGGGACCAAGCTTAGAAGACCTCATCCATGGTTTAAAAAGACTGTCAAATATAGGTGGAAATACAAAACGAGGAGAGGATGAAACTGATCAATCTACAATCAGCACTGTTGGCACCAGCAGTCTGGAAATCAAAAGATAAGTTGCACTGGGGAAAATCTTTTGTCAAGAATCTCTCCAAGGCAGTTTTTGACAGGAACTTGCTGTCCTCCCAGATCTGTAATAAAGTGCTTATGGATATTGCAATCCATCTGTCTTATTGACAGTTGACTACAGAAAGAACCCCTTGCATTGTGTAACATTTTGGCAACCATGATGGGACTGTCCGACTCACTTGGTAAGTGAAACTTTCGTTTGTACTTGCCCAGGGATTCTGAATTTTGCAGACAGCTGGATCTCAGAGAGTAGGTATCTCAAATGTCCAAAGGCACCACTGAGACCTATTGTCTCAAGAGACCTTTGAGACATCAGCTCTTGGCATCCTTCAACACCTTTGTGAATCCATGCACTTTTTCTGGTAACTGCATGCTTAGTAAAAATTCTGTCTGTTTTGGCTATCCCTAGGGAATGCACATGTGTGCCTGATTACTGGCTACCTGGGAGTGAGTTGATGTGAGTCACTTATTCCAACCTGGGAATGGGTTGGCATGAGCTGCCCACTCCAATCTGGGTGGGTGGGTTGATGTGAGTCCCACTCCAAATCTGTAAAACTGAGAACTCTAGCTCTGCCTCTTGCACTAAGGTGTTTGTTTTCTGGTTATATATCAGGGTCTGTATCTGTTGTACAGTTGTGTCTATGTTGATTTCTGTCATACTTTAGACAGGAACCTGTAGGAATGAAAGCAGAAACTCTCCGATCTGTGTTTTGTAGGATCAGAAGCAGAAGCTCTCCATTCTTCATCTTTATAGCACTTTGATGCCTGTCTGTGTAAGATCTGATTGTATGAGTGGAAGTTGCATTGTATTTAATGAGTAGAACTTGTGCTATATCTGATGAGTAGAAGTTGTATTTGATGGGTAAAACTTGTACTGTATCTAAGTAAAAGTGGTGTTGTATCTGATGATTGTGTACCTGTATTATATCTAAGGCTTGCAAATGTATTAATATTTTTCTTTTGTTCATTTAATTTTTAGATAATTGCTCAAAAATAAGTACAAAAATTTCCATTCTGGTTAAAAGTCTGTTAGCAAAGAATTCTGATGATTGGTCTGTTTGCTAATATTATCTTCAGCCAAAAGAATATTTTTTATTTCAGTAAAAATTTAGCATTTTTATTTTATTTGGCTTTTGGTGAAAAGAAAAAGTACCCTTTGTACAGATCATTAAATTATTCAGGAAGTAACATTATTTCACTAGAGGTCAAAGAAATTGAATAAGATCTGTATACATTGACCTTTAATATCT